TCAAGGCAGTAAGGACTTGAGGGTCCAAAATCTGGAGAGAAGGGAAGAGCAGAGAGATGAACGCAATATTTAGTGCTGCTTTAAAATCTGAAGCAGCAGAGCTGAGAAGATGAAATACTAAGCAGAGATTTCAGACATTGTATGGTGCTAGGAAGTACAAAACTTTTAGTTCCTGGCTCACAAGGAGCAGGAGCCCTGGTAAACACCTTAGCTGTTCAATGGAGACAGTCAAAGGGCTACACTCTCAGAGTAGAAGTGGAGTGATAAAGACTGAAGCCCAGCCTCAATAAACTTAATCCCAGACTGTATTAAGAAGATATGCTCCCACTCTAGCTCCCTGACAAAAGCCAAAGTAAACCCTCCTAGGTAGAATAAAATGCTGCCCACAGCCTCAACTTATCTCTACAATTAACATACAAATTACCTACAATATCAAGAGAAAAGTCCAAATGACCCAAAGCCCAGAGAAAAACAAATACTATAAACAGACATATGTGACTTATCAGATATAGTTTAAAATGTGATTAATGTGTTCAAGAAAGCTGATAGCAAGATGGAGGTGGGGAGCCTAATGTATGTGTAATTTGTCGCAGGACAGAAGAAAGAGAATGGGGTAGTAACAATATTTGAAGACATAATGGCTGAGAATTTTAAAAAACCATTCCTAAGTAGAGGCTACCACAGTAATTCAGACATGAAATAAAGAGGGCAAGGGCAGTGGGCAGAGAAAAAAATAGCAAACTGGTACTTAGAAGCTAAAACACTAGACAACCTAAAGATTTGGCAAATAAGTAGATTTAAGTTTCTTAAAGGCAAGAAAATGTCTTGCACATGAATAAATGCTTTGATGAATCTAAGAGAACTACGTTTCATTTTCTAATAGGGAAGAAAAGATTGATTTGTTTGGGGACACGGTAATGACCAGTGATTTAACTCCTCCAAAGTAAAACCATCGTGGTATAATTAAAATAGTACAAGTCAAAACTGTCATATTTACTCACTAGTTTAGGTTTGCTTTATTTTATTAATTAAATATTTAAAAGGTCACAACATAGGTACTAATTTTCAGAGAACCACAGACACTGGTTATTTTAAATTACTTCATAAAAAATGGCTTAATGAAAAATGGCAAGGATAGCTTTTGCAAAGATGAGACGCTGTGGCAGCAAGTCTGTCCTGTAAAGAACCTGAATTTTTTTTTTTCAGAATCTCTATCATGTGTTGTTTGACTTTAAAGGCATATGGTGCCCTACAAACACTCACTCAAGAATCACTTACAAAGCTTGAATAGTCCTATTATTCTGTCAACTTAAAAATTACCTAAAGGGCTCTTCAAACAACAGATTGTAGATCAGTTTTCGGTAAGAAAAATGGCGGAGGGCGTTTTCTTTTTGCTCTAGAAAAAATGAGCTCTTGATTAGTCTATAGTTTGTAAAATTGAAGCCGTTCAACTGTGTAAGTATTTATAAGCATTTTAGTAACAAAGAACAAATAATTCAAACACACGGTTCAATTTAAACACATGGTCCTATACTAAGGCTGCTCAATTAAACTGCAAAATTCTAGGGTTGCCCTGTGAAACCGAGAGCGTTATCAGGTCCTTGGGCCAGATTCTTTAAGGAACAGTAACGGTCCCATGAACCAGTTTTCTCCAGGGCAGCAGCACTGTCAATAAACCCATCTACTTCAAGATGAGAACCAAGTAACTTCCTTTCCCCATAAACAAAGGGCCCTTGCAATTTCCGGAATCGAGCGAGACTGCTTTTCCACCCCAACACTTATTTTGAAGCATGAAATCGTGAAGCATACCGTGAAGAAGGTTCTCCCGTAGCTTCCCAGAAGTTTTTAGTAAGTTCTCAAGATATGCTACTAGTTGTTCCTTACTCAGATCTTTCTGTTGCAAGACTTCCCGTAGCGCTTCTGCAGAAACTAACCTGAAGGCACGGTCCCCGGTCAGCGAAGGGCCGGGTTCTTGGTGGAGGGCGTCTACCGGGAAGACCTGCTCCCGGAACACCACCACCGAAGACCACCATTCTGCCGCCAGGTTCTTCCGCAACTCTATGCCCAAGGGGCCAAAGCCGGGGTGGCACCCGCTCAGAAGAGAATCTCGGCTCAGCTGCCGCTTGATGCCACTGAAGAAATGCCTTTTCTGACAGATGTCCACTAGCGCCTCGCTCCCCTCACCGCCTGACTCGGGGGCGTCTCTCGGCTCGCTCCCGCGGGGCAGCTCCGCGTGCGACCTCAAGGGCTCTCCGACGGAGCCGCTTCCTTCAGTCAACTGCTCCGGCTGTCTCCCATTTCCCCGACCCCCAAACCCGGACAGTAGGCACCTGCAGACTTTATGGCAGGTCCTGAAGGCTGCACCAGGGCGCATTGCCCTCGGGAGTTAAAGCACCGTCTCTCCTATTAGCTGGCTGATCCCAATACACCGCCACAACCATCCGCCCGGGGGAGACCACGCAGGCGCGACGGAAGCGTGCGTGCGGCCAGCCCCGCCCACGGAAGTGCGTCACTGCGTTCAGGGTGCAGCCACCACGAGCCTCCCACCTCTTCTTGCGTCAGTGGGGCCTGGTCCCCACTAATTGGTTATCTGTCCTCATCGACACCAGTAAGTACCATTCCCATCTGCTTTTCACTATTCTGCCGTTGCCATTATTGAGTCAGTTTTATCTTCCTTTCCTTTTCTCTGCAAGTCAGACATCAAAATACTTAGGTGTTCTGCAAATTAACCATCTAAATAAACCTTCTCAATCTAAATGTCCACAAAAGGAAACCTTGGTTCCCCTTTTAAAAGTTGTAGTCGTTAATGCCGGTTTACAGGCCCAGGCCTTCCTTGCATCTCTACTTAGAAGCTGCTGCTGTCCTGTTCTTTACTGGGGGGTTGCAAGGTGTGAGGTAGGGGCTGTGACGCGGAGGGATGGAATACAGTCCTTCTACATACTGGTGTTCAAAGGGCAGCCCTGGACCAACTGCATCTCCATCATCTGGGAACGTCAGGGAACAAACAGCTGAGAAGGGCCCAGCAGATTTAAACCCTCCAAGGTTAATGCGGAGGCACACAAAACCAAGCACCGGTTAACAAGCCAGTTGTTTAGCCAGGCGACCCTTCCAAACATGCAACAGAATGTGAAAACCCGTTTAAAACGGAGACCCGGATTCCCTAGCAAGCTTGCGACTTTACATCTCCATTTTAACACTTAGAGCCCTTTAGAAAATTGCCCAAACAGTGGTAAAGTGGTACAGTCCAAATGGAGGAAAATGGCTCATTCCAAAGCTCATGATTTTCACTTTCAGCTTCCCCTTAAGTGGTTAGAGAAACCTTCAAAGATTAACCCATACTTCTATTTTCCGCTAGACTACCTGGAAGAGGCAGTTTATTTAGAGTAGCAGTTTAGCAACTGAATTATCAGAATATGGAGACAGTTAAAATTCATCACGTCTAAGCTGGCAAAGGAAAGGTTCAGAAAATTGTTCAATGCAAGAATGTGTGCAAGTGTTTGCAAAAAACAACAAAAACAAAAAGCCCCAGAAAGTCAGACACTATTGCTGTAAAGTAACGTATTAACTGCAAAGCTAAGCAACGTTTATGTGTTTTCCACACCCAGGAAACACCAGGGAGGAGGCCTACACACAAATAAATGAGAGAGAATGGGGAGAAAAACCACATTTATTAGTTAAAGACAACCACAGGCTGGACACAACACACATGCTAAAAAGTGGACTGTCTTTTAAAATTTACTTCAAAGGTAAATAGATAAATGTTTTCCACAGCCCCACAATCATTTCAATGTGCTTACAAATTAAAAGGCTCATGTTAAGACATTAAACAGTAAAATATGTAATAAATACTCCAACCTACCCCAAAAGCTTCTTTTAAAAGTCATAGTGAATTTGACTAATCATGCTATTGAAAACTGTTCAATTACTAGGAGCTGAACCAGTTTTCAATTTATTAGTCCTAAAAATACCACTCCTTATCCTGCCCCAGAAAAATTCTAGTTTTATATTTGAGATAAGGCATTAACACCAATTAAAGCCTGTTTAATAATTGGAATTTAAATGAAACCTCATGAAGACACCTCCTCTCCTTGCAAAAAAAAATATATGTATCAGACCCACTGGGAAGATGTTCAAGCCTACTTCTAGTCATCATTAAAATGATCAGAAAGGTTGGTGAGCCCAAGTTAAATCTAAAGCTACATGTTGTAAATCTTCTTAGCAAAAAACCCACGTTGACCCTAACAAAAGGAACTGTATTATAGTTACTGTGCTTTTCGTAACATGGCTTCCTCCAGTTTAACCATTAAAGTTTTTCCTTTGCATTCATCTGAGTAAGAACAGACCTTACAGTTTGAAGTCCTCTAGAGTTCCCTGAATTACTGGACATTCATGACTCCCAGAGTGACCTCAGTTAAGAGCCCTAGGAAGCCTGTGAAGACTAGCACTTCTATAATGTCAGCACTAAAAACAAATTCAAATTTAGCTCTTGGCGAACCATCTTAAACGGTAGTCTTTTGACTGTTCAGTATTTCTATAGTTCACAATACAGCCAAGAGCTTAAGTATCATCTCCTGAAGTTAATTTGGAGATTTCCAAATCACAAATTTTGCAAAAGGAACAAAGTCATCCATGTTCTCACACTAAGCAGTCTGTGCGTGGGGCTACAGTTAATTATTCCCTATTATATTCTAGTATCTCATTTCACCATTCTAACAGTTAGATGACTCACCTGATGTTGGGAGGTACTGACAGAAAACCTTTATGCAGTTTAGCCTAAAATTGTTTAACCTAAAATCAACCACATTTTAATCCTTGCCATAAGAATAGATCACTGTTAAGAAGGGCCTTCTGATCTCCCCACTTTCCAAAACTATATTATGAAAAGGAGCAGTCTATTTATGATTCAAAAAAAAAAAAACAAAAACAAAACAAAAACCAACCATCTAAGCCAAGTTTTACATGACATCATATATGTAAAATAAAGTACCATTTCCACTTAATTCAGTCTTCAAATATTTTTTATTGGAAGGCCATGCATTGCCTTCATTTATCGTATTTCAAATCACTGTACATTTACTTTTGTGAAAACACTGCCTGCATTTTCTAGTACAAAAAAAACCTAAAAATTGTTTCAGGAATGTAGAGAAATATCCAACTTAAATAGCGAAAAAGTGCACCATAATTACTGCTGCACTGCAGTCATTTCTGCATTTCCCATGTTTCTTAAATAACTATCTTGTCTGGTAACACACAATATAAAGAGCAATTATGAAAAACAGACATTTACATATACTTCTAAAGTCTTATTGAGAATATCCTGTTGGCATTGGATAACCAATCATAGGTGCAGCTGCAGTAGCAGGATATGCATATGCCTGTTGGTTCATACCATTGTGCATATTTGGAACATTACTCCCATACTGCTGAGTGCTATCATAACCATTCTGATAAGTACCTGTTGGATTACCAGTCCTAAAACTGGTCTGTATACCAGCAGACACAAAATTACTTCCAAAGCTCCCGTTGGTGTAATTTGCAGCACTGTAAACACCATTCTGAGTTTTTGCCCCAAAATCTCTCTTAAGCAGACTAGAGTAACCTCTGTCATAATTTTCCCTGTCTCTAAATGTATTAAATCCACCCCTTTTGCCCGCAGAATATCTGTCCCGACGGTCATCCTTCATGCCTCCTCTACCCCTGGAACGACCTGTTAAGAGAAAAGTTGCAAACCGATTACTTCCATGGCTGAAATCATTACTAACACAGAAGGGATTAGGCAGCTCTACCTGTAAGTATTTTCTAAACTTTGTTCCACACTGAAGATTTTACTCACCCGCCAATCCCACTTAAATGGATTTGTAGACAATTACGTGACCCGAAACTACCAACATTTTTTATCAAAGGTTGGTCTTACCTGAACCTCTGTCTTCGACCAACTGAAGCAATTTGGGATTAATTGCTTGATTAGCTTCACGAAGCACAGAGATAAGGTCGCTCACTTGCTTTATGTTATTAGGTGTAAAGAAAGTGTATGCTGTGCCTGTTTTGGTACTGCGAGCAGTTCTTCCAATTCGATGAATATAATCCTCTGAGGAGTTAGGGTAGTCATAATTGATGACAAATTTCACATCTTCCACATCTGTAAAGTGTTGCAGTGTGGCAAAATAGCAATGTACGGAGTTTTGCACACCACAACAGCCAGACCAAAAATAAAAAGTTAGACAATTGTATTCCCAAGAAGGTATGGGCTGCAAAAAATACAGTTAAAATGGTTATCCATTCTCTGTAGGAATACCATTGAGGTTGAGAGAAGGGGGGGAAAAAACCACACACATCATCTGTATGCCTTATTACCCACCCAATGATGAGCCTGCCAAAAGGACATGTGTATATTTCCTACATTCCCACGTTAGCAAGTCCCCTTACAGATCATCAAGTGACATCTGAATGCTTCTGCGCAGTAGGGCCACTTGAAGGTTCACAGCAACCTCCTTGTGTGCTCATTTTGAGGACCTTTAAACAAAAATGTACGTGGTCCTTCGCATTACACACTTATCAGAAGTTCAAAATTCTGGCCACACTGCTTGTCTTGCCAAGACCTTACAACCGCAGCTGCAAGAAAAACATACCTGTCCCCCAAAAGTTGTTTTTATGCACTGTGTCTCGTCTAGGCAAGCGCTTCCAAGAAGCCAGGATTCACTTGAGAATGTGTCTCTCTCTCTGGCAGGTCTCGACATGACGACTACTGTGTAGGTGAGGGAGGAACTTTCAAAGCACTTTTTCCCACTGACTAAGTGTGAGAAGTTGCTCCTGCTCTAGATCTTATGTGCCAGTACTCACCAATTTGTAAAAGGCTTAGTACCTTTTAAAGCTGCTCTCTCCATTTCAAACTTGAACAAAAATTTCATTGAACATTGAAGTTTGGAAATATTTCTTCGACATTTCAGCAAACTCACTGAAACTCAAAGACCCACAGATCACAGTGAACATTCTGAAACAATGCTGTACCATGGCAGTCATGCAAAGCATGGGACAGAAGAAATACCACGGCAGTGAACTGTGAGGATAACTTCCATTTTTTTCCCCCGGGAGAGAACAGTTTACGGGGCAGAGGTGGTATGTTCTGCCTTTTGAAGATTACTGGCACACTTTCAGCTTTTCACCTCTCTAATCGACTGGAAGCAGCCAGCCGATCACTAGTCCTCCATCCCCCTCGAGTCCTCCGATTGTCATGCCTAGGCCTTGCCACAAAGACTGCACCTTTATATGAAAAAAACTTAGAAAAAATGCAGAGGTTAAAGAAAGCAATAAACTTTCTTTAAAAAGTTATATGGAGATCTTCTGGAAAACCAAGCCATGAATTCGAGTTTGTACTAACCTAGCCCTCTGGAGGCCACATCTGTAGCAATCAGAATAGGAGCTTTTCCATGTTTGAATTCTACAAAAGAACGCATATATATGTAAGATCACTGATGGGAGTGAATTATAGGTTTTGAAGGAAAAAAGAACCCTTCCCTTGCAATACTTACCATTTAGAACCCAGTCACGTTCCTGTTGACTCTTGTCACCATGGATACCCATGGCAGGCCACCTAAATTAAAGAAGTTCTATTAGTAGATTCACATTTAAAATTTCAGATTTTAATCAAGGTCAGACCCTTTTAATTTCATTCACTTGAAATAACGTATGTACAGTCTTAACTATACTACCTGTTTATTCCCATCTATACAACTCAAATCACCAGTGATTACAATTTGCCCCTCTGCTAAACTCAGCTCTAATACAGCTGCTTCAATGGAAGAAGCCCACATACCCATCTCTCCTCATCTTTCTAGTAAGTTCATCACATCTTCTTTTGGTTTCAACAAAAACAATGGTTTTATTCTCCTTCTCACTCATGATCTCTTCCATTAGGCGAATAAGTCTTGGGGGAAAAAAAAAAGAATTCTGAATTCTAAAAGTTCATGGTTATGGTTAGCAAAATACCAACTTTAATTCACATGGCTGCAAGTCAAAAAGGAAACACCTGCTTAACCTCTTAAATAATTCTACCCTTAGTCTTTAAATAAACTCCAAGACTTTTTTCTATAGGAATTCTGTAAATACAGTGATAACCAATTCCCTGAATGAAGGAAGCAAGACAATTCAGAATGACTTACAGACTTAATTTCAAATTAACACTGATTCCACTCAAGTTAAAGTCACTTTTAAGATAACTTACGCAACTGTGGCTCATATTTGTAAAGTTGTTTTTATAGTTAAGACTTACTTTTCATCCTTTTCTACATCATGACACACATCCACAATCTGAAGAATGTTGTGGTTTGCACTCAATTCTAGTGCACCAATGTTTATATGAATGTAGTCTTTCAGGAAATCTTCAGCAAGCTGTCTTACTTCTTTTGGCCAAGTAGCACTCCACATTAGGGTTTGTCTATCAGGCTAAAGATTTTTTGAATTAAAAAAAAAAACCATTAGGGAGTCGGGTATAGCTCAGTGACAGAGCACTAGCATGCCTGAGGTCCTAGGTTCAATCCCCAGTACCTCTACTAAAAATAATTAATACATAAAAAACATTATACGTTCTAACAATGAATTTAGAGCCAAGTTTAAAGAAATAAGACATTTAAAGGGCATCTTACTCTTATTTGATCCACAATCTTCCTTATTTGGGGTTCAAATCCCATATCAAGCATTCTATCTGCTTCATCAAGGACAAGGTAGGTGGTTCTCCTTAGATTGGTTTTCCCACATTCTAAAAAGTCAATCAGTCTTCCAGGTGTTGCAATACAAATTTCCACACCTTCAATTAAACACACAAATGTTAACCATCACATCTGTAACTTTTAGCACCATCAGTGACAGGTAACTGATTACTCACCTCTCTCCAAATCACGTATTTGTGGTCCCTTGGGAGCACCACCATAGATGCAAGTAGACTTCAAGCGACATGCTCTACAGTATTCAGCAGCTACTTGCTGTACCTGTTGGGCTAGTTCCCGAGTTGGTGCCAGCACCAAGCACTAACGAAAGAGAAAGTGGAACAGCTTTGAGAAGAGTCCTGGGTTCCAAAGTACTGATTTATTACCGTTATAAAAGCAGATAATTTATTTTGCTGTCCAATACCCAAATAAGCTTTATGTCTCCAGCTAAACGGGATAACTTATGTCTCTAGTTGAAATCACCACAAATTGACTTTTGCTACCTATTCTATGAATCTCTACACTTCTAACCCAAAGTTACAGACTACATATATATACTTACAATAGGTCCATCACCCCTCTCTAGGAATGGCTGATGATTGATATGGACGATGGCAGGCAACAAATACTGTTCAAAGAGGAAAGCAAACAAAAGTTATATTAAAATACTTTTGGTTTAATTCCCAACCCATTTTCTCTAGCACACATCACAGAATAACTCAAAAGCTCTCCCGAACTTACAGACAACGTTTTTCCAGATCCAGTTTGTGCTACCCCAACCATATCCAATCCACTTAGAGCAACTGGCCATCCCTGAGCTTGAATAGCAGTGGGTTCAGTAAAGTTCTGCCTTGCAATCACGTCCATGACATTTGCTGTAATTATTGATAATTAAATAATTATAATGCCAAAAAAATGGAATTTTAAAAAAAGTGACAGAAACTTGCACTTACCAGGAAAGTTCGCTTCATAAAAATTCAGAACTGGCTTTGGGCAGTTGTGACCTCTAACCGTAATTTCCTTGCTTCTTCTGTATGTCTCTACCTCTTGCTACAAGACAAATTATAAAAATACAGCTAAGTCTCACGACAACTCCCCTTAAGTAAAAATGCAACTGACAGGCCCCTAAATGTACAGCTGATTAGCTACTTTAAGATGGCCTTTAAAAATCTGGATCCACACATGAAAACCTCATGTAGGACAAGAACCACCAACCATTCTAAATACAGAAAAATCGAAGTCGTGCCTATCTCCAAAAGTGAGGCATCTCTTCCCCAATAAAACTTAACTGGGAAAGCATGAGTTCCTCAAGTTTGGTCATTTGCAAGACATTCCTAGTCACTTTTATTTACTGCAAATTCATTGAGTTATAGCCTGATGAAGCCACATGAAGTTACTCACTGCTGTGCGCCTAGCCAAATCAGGGTGTTCTTGATAAAAATTCTTCTCAAATTTGGGCAGCTCATCAAGATTCCATTTCTTTTTAACCAGTTTCTCCCCAGGGTTTCCAAACTTCTTTCCCGATAAGGGCCCTGCCCTACTTCCTCCAAATCGAGGTGCACCAAACCTAAAATTAAAAAAAAAAAATTACATCTTAAAACATGTTACAGATTTACCACCCTTGACACATGCTGAAGATCAATGAAAGACTTCTGGAGATGGAAGACTCAGTGCTGTCCTTAGTGATGGCAATTCTCTGAAAACCCACACCACCACATCCTTCTTATTTCCCATGGTACCAAGTACACATTACTGAACCCAAATCAACCACCCGAGATTTACCAGGTCGGAAAACTGCCTGCCCAAGTGCTAGAAGCTCAGATTACAAGGAGAGAGAACAGCTGGATGAGATAGTAAGATACCAGTCTTTCCCACGAGCTTAAGAACTAAACATCTGCGAGAGACAATAAAGAACGAACGAGCTTAACAGCGATGTTATCTATCAGCCATGTTCAAGCAAAGCAGCTTCGGTTTTAATGGATAACGGAGCAGCACAGGCAGAGAGAGAACAAGGAAGGTGGTCTCGGAGACATTTATGCAAACCAGTTGGGAGGAAACCCGCGGAAGGGCTCCCGATCAAGGTAGGAAAATTATATAACGCGAGAATAAAGGAGGAGGAGCTGGAGACAACCGGGGGAGGAGTCCCGGCCCGGGCGGAGTCGGCCGGGCGGCGTTCCCGCTGGGGCGGCGCTTCCCCCTTTGTCTCGCATTTCTCTCTGCGCCACATTTTCTCGACGCTGCCATTTTGAGCTCCTCCGCCGGGCGGGGTAACAAAGGCGCCGCCGCCATGTCCGACGCCGGCATTTTGTACTCGCGGCTCAGCCACATGGCCGCTTCCCGCGGCGCCGGCCATCCTCCTGCCCCCGCCGCATCAACGGCTTCCTAGGCGGCCCCCTCGGCACCCACAGAATTCCCGAGACCCCTAAAACACCTCCCGAAAGGGTGCACCTAACAGCGGCGACTTCGTCCACCTCGAAGCACCGCGCTTTCCTCCCCTCGAAACACGCTCAGAATTCTCCCAACAGCTGCTAAATCGAGGCCGCGATACGCCCTCCCAAACAAAAAGCGATCTTGAGGACCGTTAACAGGGAACTCTCGGTCAGTTTAGAACAAATATCAAAATGGCGCAAACCGTCGACGGAGGAGGCCCAAAGAAAGACAGAAGCAGCCAACCTCCCACCGCCACCCCGCCCCCCGCTACCCTCATCGGCTTCCCATCCCCCACTGCCGGGCCTGACAGGTCAGTTCCCACACTCACCCTCGATCCCGGCCGCGGTCTCGGTCACTCGAATAACCCGACATGGCGTCAATGGTTGCGGTTGGCGGGAAGCGAAGCGGAGAGAACTGGGTGCGACAAGTCGCTGGAATTGGCTTCGACGACGGCGAAGCCTTGCGGGGGCGGCAGCGGTGGAGAGACGGCGATGACAGGAGCAGGAGCTGCCAGGCAAGAGACCGGTGGAAATGAATGAGGTGCCGGCCGCGTCCCGGCAGCCGGTTTTATAGCCTGGACCGCCTCCTCCGCCGCAGAGAATGCTGGGAGCCGCTCTATGACCTAATCACTCCGCCCCTGCGCAGAGGCCGCAACGCCCGTCGGCATTCCGGGATCCGCCATGTTCTCGCCCCTCCCCCCGACCCCTCCCTCAGAGGCGCCGGATTTTCGGTCTTTTCAACGGTGGGCCCCCACCCACCACTGGGTTGCTTCAGTCTGCACGCTCTTGGCTTCACCTTGTTCTCGTCTTCCACACATCAAAGAAGACACCCCGCCCTTTTCCAGGTCCAGCCCAGACAGCAAAATGGACAGCCCCAGTCAACCCACAGTCCACTCGGAGATGTTTACGTCTCCATAGAGCACTCACGCCCATAACCTAGCGATACCGGAAGGCGGGGCCTGACACTGTCACGTGGCTGCCCCCGCCCACCGAATGAACTGTTCGCACTACTTCCACAGTTGGCGTCGGCGGAGGAATACAAAACAAAATAGCTCACCGGAAGTTCCGTGCTAAAGCCTCCAGGAGACCAGCCGGGGCTCCTGGGTCACCCAGACTGTCAAACTCACTCACCCTAGAGCCCCTTAGCGGGGTCTGACAGGAGGAGAATGGTATCTAGAGCCCGCAAACCGCCGCTTTGGCGCGCGCTGCGAAAGGAAGTGCTCCTGTGGTGACCAATCAGCAGCGAGAAGCCGTTTTAACGTCCCTCCCTCTCTCACCCCTCCTTCCCGGCGCTTTGGTGTGGTTCCCCCTCCTATCGGCGCTATGTCTGCGCTCTGCGGCCCTTCCCGGACACCGTCCTGCGCGCGGCGGCCTGGAAGTCCGGCGGCGACGTGCCTCCGCGACATGGCCGGCTCAGAGGCTGGTGAGTCTCGGCCCGGAGCCCCGGTGTGTGTGGACTGAAGTCCAGTGCAAGTCCCCAAACACCCTTTCCCATTTTATCTTGAGGCTTCGGGCGGGTCTGGGCTGCCGGCGGGGCTCGTGACAGACACCTGGTCGTAGTCGGCGGGTTCTCTGGATAGGGTGTCTCCGCCCTGCGCCCTGTCCGCTTCGAGGCTGTCGAGCGCAGTTTTGGGGTGGAAGATAGAAGGGCCCTTCGGCGAGGCCCGTAGCACTCCCGCATCCTGTCTGCAAAAAGAGCAGCCAGAAACTGCTGACTGGTATTTCTTTGAGGAATCCAACTACTGGCGGGCTGCGCTTTTGCATTGTGGGGACTTTGGCCGTGCCAGCAACTGTATTGAACTTTTGGGAACTGGCACACTTAAGATCTGTTGATGCCTTTGCCAAAGCAGAGCAGGGGTGGACTTTTCTCTTTAGTGCTCTCTAGAGTTACCGGCTTTGTCTAGCACCGCTTATGAAAAGCGAATTGATTTGTTTAGGACGCTTTCATCCTTTTCTCCAGGACAGCGTTCAAACCAGTTGTCATGGTTTGGTCAGCTGTGAGTGGGCATGGGCAGAGAGAGAGAGAATGTGCCTTGAAGACAGTCTCACATATACATAAACACACGCATTTATTGCTGGAACATTACTGAAGATAACAAACACAGAATAAAAGAACTTTCCCCTTAATCGTCAGTCATTTAAGGGAACAAATGTTTCAAGCTTTCTAAATTACCTGTGGTCAAGAAATTCGTGAAATAACTTTGTTAATCCCAACAATATCTGGGGTAAGGGGGCTGATAACACTGGAAACTTCGACCATATTGGTAATGTGGTAGCTCTGAATTTGGAGACGTTTCTGTATACTCCCATATTTGCCTTTCATATACATCAAATATAATTTTTAAAAAAGCTTAACAAATGCAGTAGTGCTGGTTTCATTACTCCAGTTCTTAACAGCGTCAGTTAATCACCACCTATTTGGGCACCAGAGAAATTCCAACTTGCACAAGATAATTGGGTAAAAACATGACTAATGCTACTGGGAATTTGAAGCAACATCGATTAACAAGTTAGTAGTAATCTCAGATTATCATTAACAAGCCATCTTGTTCATGACGTAATATTTCTGTTTACTTGTAAATATGTTTTAAATGAAAAGACCTATGTATGGCTTGTAAAATAAGAACTATGATAAATACTTTAAGATTTTAGGTTGCAATAGTAAAAATTGGATTTGAATTATAGTTTTGACTACATTGAAATTGTAGCATTCTGAAAATCACCCCAAGAATTTAAATACATCTTTTCAAAAATCATGCCCAGGAGGGCCTTGGAAATTCTCTAATAGTCAAATTCCTTATCTTCTACAGAATTCAATGTCCCTTTTTGTGGGAGTTGTTTTTTAAGTGAATGTATATAACTTTCTCTGATACTATTTAAGGCTGATCTTTTCCCTTTCCCAACAGAGTGGGTAACCATTGCCAATAATCTTCTTTTGAAATGTCATATACATCTCAGGATTCGAGAACTAGAAGATTGTGATGCTAATGTTTTTATTGCTCTTTATCAATCCATTTTGGGAGAAAAGGTACCAGGTAAGGTAACTAAAAAGTGAAAGTAATAGTGTCCTAGGCTAGAAATTTCTAGTGCCTTTAGTTAGAGCTTGTAGTATATATAAGATCTAGAGTCTTCTCTTTTGTCTACATCTTATTTCTATCTAAATGTTGCATTCATTGATTTAAAGTATACCTTATGAGACCTACCCATAATAACAGCTTTGGTTCTCAACTATTTAATCATGCCCAGTGCTGTCAAAGTCACACCCTTTCTGTAAATGCACTTTTGCATGTTCTAAAATGGACTGGAATTTGGAAACTTGTTGAGTCCTGGTACTTAACCAATTATATAGATAAGAACTGGTGTTTGTATTATGTCCCTGGTTAAATATCTCAGAGTCATTATCCAGCAGTTTCCTCTGCTGCTTCTGTTTCTTTGTATAATTTATAGCCATTTAGCATCTGTAGTCTCTCTTTTTGCTCTATTACTGTGAGTCAGTGCCCCCTTCACTTTCGGGAATAATGGGATGGCCTCTAGCTGGTACCGTTAATGCTAGTCTCAACCCTCTTGAGAGTTCAGAGGCGTGTAGTTATTAGACCAGGCTTTTACAATACTTTTTTTATTCTTCCCCCAAACACTCGACTTCCTCAAATACCAAACTCCAAATTTAAGTTGATAAAATCTTTCTGCACTCTGGTCTGTACTGATCTTTTAAACTTTTATGCCAATAATTCTAATAGGCTGCCTTAACAGGATGTACAAGAACCCTCCTTTCACACTTCTTGTGGGTTTTTTTTCTCTCATGGAAAGCAGCCCATGTTAATGGGTTGAAGTCTCACCTCATGTATTGCCTCCCTTTTTAGCGTATTAGCATCTCCATGAATTTAGGGACCTCTTTTTCTTTATTATGGTGCTTATTTTAGAGCATTTTTACATGTGTGATGGTTGGATAAATATTTAACCATATTCAGTCAATAAATACCCAACCAATAAAGGTTTTACTGTGTGGAATTCAGGCTCTATTTATCTATACTTGATAGCCTGCTCTGTTTGGGCCAGCTTACTTTTGTAGCAGTTGACCTTACTAAGAGGCCTGATCAGAGACAGAGATGGAAACTTGGACTCTGGTAGTTGCAAAATTACGTAGTTTTCTTCCCACAGACCTCATAGCTATTCCCAGGAATCAAGAAGATGAAGCTCACAATGTACAAGCAGTAATTGATTCACTGGCTTTGGATTACCTGCAGATCAGCTTGTCTCACATAACAGGTTAGTATATACTTAACATTAGATAACTTTGCATTTTACTAAAATAATTTGTTAGGTAGAACCCTAGACTTTGTTTAACCAAATGAGTAAGCTTGTGAAATAGACTAACCAGCAAGACTGAGTCAAGACAGTTGACTGGTATAGTTAAGGCATCCATCCTTGAGAGCTTTTCCAGGAGAGTCAAACACTGAGTTTGAGTTTGCAATGCCTGAGATACAAAAATCCTAGCTGGTAGTTTGAGGTATGTTTTTCTGTTGGTGTTACTTTAAAGCTGCCTTGCTCCTTGTTTGTAGTAGCTAAAAAGTAGAAACACTTAAATACCCATTAATAGGGACAGGTTAAATAAATTATCATAGCTCCATATAGGGCACTACCCTGTAGCTGTAAAACATGATTGACAATGCTCTTTATGTACAGTGTTCCTTGTTAGTGGATAATCCTGGGGTTTCCCTGTTCTTGTGCAATTTGGAATGGCTTTATTGCCCTAGTAGGGCAATTTCTGGTATTTGTACTTACTGTATAAACATACTATATACCAAGGATGTGTCTGTTTGTAGAACTTTTTAATGCCGAGCTACCCCTGACAACTTATACCTACCCCATAGAACGTTGCAAAACTGCTTACCTCTTCCAGTAGACTGCAAAGCAACTTTTTACTCCTTATGAGCTGTTTAAGGCAGTTTCTCCTGCATGGTGAAGCACTGCATTCTGGAGGGCAGTCTTAGTTGCTGGGTTGGCAGAATACGCTCCCTATCCTGGAAACCAGAAGTCCTGGGTATGTCCTTGGGGTATGCTTGTGTTATCTTGTTAAGCTAGAAAACAGGGCTTAAAAACAAGATTTGTTTAATTGTTTTAAACAGAAAAAAAATTGCTCAAACATTGACTAGCTTTACTAGTAGTGTTGTAAAATATCAAATTTCTGGTTTAGGCTTGTTTTGCATCATGACCGAGGTTATGAATGGCTAGATTATCTCAAATACAGAATTTCTACTCTGCCTCTCCCATACTGGTTTGAACTCATGCCAGTCATGATCTCCCAAGGGACAACTCAAGTGTCTCAGGAGTTAGGTTCCATCCATACCTGATGTTGACGGGAGTCCATTTTAGGTGGCATTAAGCATGTCAAGTTTCCATGCTTTTGCCAGCTCATTTCTTGTCAACATTTCAATTAATTTATCAAAAATCTATGATAAGCCAGGTACTGTGCTAGGAACACTTTAAAGATTAGTTTGTAGATATAAGGTGGATATGGTGGGAGGTAAGATGAGAGAGGTTGGGGGTGAAGTAAGATTAAGAAGGGTTTTATAAGCAGGGAGCCATGGTTGGTTTTTAATTTAAAAATATCATGAGCTATACAAAGTGAATAGGAGTTAACAAATTAAAAAAATTAGGAATTGTGGATGAAAGTACCCCAGCAAGGTTTTTGGTTTTGTTTTGTATTTCTCTACTGCTGTTGTCTTCAGGTCAAACCACTGTCTAGAAGTAGGATCCCGTAATCTGAAACTGTGTTCCCAACTGCAGTTTTTTTTTTTTTTTAACCAGCCTAATAAAGTTGTGCTTAGTTGCTTTGTATTTTGGTATAGATCTTAGAGAATCTTTTCTTAAGGCCACATATTTTGCTTCTTGAGAGGTGAAGGACTATGCCAGTGAATTATCAAACATACTATTCAAGATTATCCCCTTTG